GAGGCTCCAGATATCCCAAAGTAAATGAAGATTGTAAACCTGTAGCCCTAAACCCTAAACCCTAAACCCTGAGGATTTAGAGTTTCGAGCTTTGGGGTGCGGTAAGCTTCCAGGTATCCCAAATTTTATTAAAACAGTCGTATACCTGTAGGCTTCATTGTTGCGGCTTCATCAGAAGCTCATTATTGTGGTTCTATGTTTGAGGGTTTCGGGTTTAGAGTTTAGAGTTAAGCGGGTTCTTCAACAGTCTCATTATTGTGGGATTCACACCGAGCAAGATTACTCAAAGATTCCGAACATGACGGACTATCCCATCGTCAAGGGGCCCTATACCCTAAACCCGGACCCTAAAACCTAAATCCTAAGCCCTAAACCCTAAACCCTAAACCCCTGAACCCGACACACCCGAAAGGCCATAGCTGCTGCGTCACCGACGCCCTCCTCTCCCGCGCTCTCGTCCTCGCCGGTGCCGGGGAGATAGGAGACTCAAATCCTAGGGTTTAGGGTTTAGGATTTCGTGTTTAGGGTTTAGGGTTCAGGGTTTAGGGTTTAGGGTTTGGGGTTCAGGGTTTATAGGGTTTATAGGGTTTAGGGTTCGGGGTTTGGGGTCCAGGGTTTAGGGTTTAGGGTCCACGGTTTCTTTGTTTAGGGCCGGTTATGACTGACAAACCTTCGCTACAGGACAATCACAAGGCCCCGACGTCCCCGAAATGGCTATACGTCAGTCACAGCCTCCAAGTACCACATTAGGGTTCAGGGTTTGGGGTTTAGGGTTTAGGGTTTTATGGTCTAGGGTTTGGGGTTTCAGGGTTTAAGGTTTAGGGTTTGGGGTCTAATCAGGTTTGGGGTTTAGGGCCTTGCGCAGGTGCCCTCGGCGTCGCCGTCTCCAAAGCCCTCGTCCCCGGCGAGAGCGGCAGAGGCTGATTTTCCAGCTTCTCAGGGTTTATGGTTAGGGGTTTAGGGGTTTAGGGTTTAGGGTGTAGGGTTTAGGGTTTAGGGTTTAGGGTTTAGGGATACTCCAGCTTCTTCTTCTTCTGGCAGTTTTGTAGTACTACTATCTGCTTAAGAACCCCAAAAACATACAAACTATTCGTTCTTCCTTATAAAGGTAATATAGGTTTTTTTCCTGGGGGTTCTTAAGCAAGTAGTAGAGTATGGAATGAGGGAAATTGGTACCCCATATAATCCCTTAAAGGGATCATTCCCTACTAAGAGCCAGGGGGTTGTGTCTCCGTTAATCCGGGTGTATGAGGGTTACAGAGATCAGTGTTCTGCCCAACCAATTATCCCCCGTCCGATACATTCACGCTTTTTGTCGAGGGATCCCGCGAATTGAGGTCCTAAACCCGAAACCAGTACTTGGATGTTCATGGGTTGTCGTAAGTAGGGTTACAAGCGCCCTAAATCGGATTACAAGTATATAGTTACAGGATCCCGCTCACAAGTTCCCCTTCAGTAGAGCCGCCGGCGTTTTCACGTGGGCTGCGAACTACGGTTATGAATCTGCTACAGGTGCCCGGGGCCTCCAACTATTCTTCGGGATCTTTTTGGTACCCTATATACAATAGGTTCAGGGTTTAGTGTTTAGGGTTTAGGGCCGTAGTATCCCTAAACCCCTAAACACCCTAAACCCCTAAACCCCCTAAACCCCCTAAACCCCAAACCCTAGACCCCAAACCCTAAACCCTAAACCCCAAACCCTAAACCCTAAACCCCAAACCCCAAACCCTAAACCCTAAACCCTAAACCCTCCAAGTGCAGCTCCGGGCAGGCCTTGTCCTGGGCTCCGGCCGCCCCGGCTGAGGAGCATCCCAACGAGCGGCTCTCAGATCTTGCAGGGGTTTAGGGTTTAGGGTTTAGGGTTTAGGGTTTAGGGTTCAGGGTTCATCGTGTAGGGTTGAGGTTTTCAGGAATTTCGGGGTCAGAGCAGTCCGTTTGAAAGTCGGAATTCTAGGGAAGATATCAGAAGTGGGTATATGATCCCAGCTACAGGGTTCAGTACATCTGAAAGGCCTTCAATGTTACCTGAGACCAAGAACCCTAAACCCTGAACTTTAAGCCCAGAAGCCCCAAGCTTGAAACCCAGAATCCTAAAGCTGAAACACTAAACCCTAACGCTAAGCTTTAAACCCTGGTGGAGCCCCCAAACCTTGTTCTTTTTGGTCTTGTGCCCTTGGCCCTTACGGCAAGCCCCTTTCCCCCTAAACACAGCCCTAAACCCGAAACCCTAAACCCTAAACCCTAGACCCCACAACTGGGCGTCAACTTTCAGAAGCCCAAGGCAAAGTACACTCCGGGCATGTGGCTGGAGTGTATCGGGCCCGTGCTCACACGCGCCGGGCTTAGCCTAGGGTTTAGGGTTTAGGGTTCAGGGTTCAGGGTTTAGGGTTTAGGGTTTAGGGTTTAGGGTTTAGGGTTTAGGGTTTAGGGTTTAGGGTTTAGGGTTTAGGGTTTAGGGTTTAGTTTTTTAGGGCTTGGGGGAAGCTTCCTATCAGCCTTTAGAACCCCAGAAGCCATAAAAGCCCTACACATTCCGAAGCCTTATGCTGTGCGAGCCCCAAATCCTATCAGCACCTACAGTCTTTAAATGGGGGGGGGGGGGTTGAGGGTTTAGGTGTGTTGAACCTTTTCTCGATTGACGGGTAGGGTTCGGAGTTCAGAGTTTGGGATTCGGGGTCTAGATATTGTGCATCTAATGAGGACCTGGCGTTAGGGCTGTTGGGCACTTGGAGCTAGGGCTTAGGGGTCTAGGGGGTTAGGGGTTTAGGCTCTTAGGGCTTTAGGGGTTTAGGGGTTTAGAGGCGTAGGGGTTTCGGGCTTTAGAGGTTAGGGCTTGAGGGCTTCAGGGGCTTCAGGGGCTTTTCAGGGGCTTGAGGGGCTTGAGGGGCTTGAGGATTGCACCGTATGCAGCGCTTAGCTGGACTTCGGGTGCTTCAGTCTGGGCCTGGACATGCCTCTTCGGTGGTCATAGAAGCTGAGGAAGCTTGGTGTTCGGGTTCAGGGTGCAGGGTTTAAGGTTTAGAGTTTAGGGTTTAGGGTTTAGGGTTTAGGGTTTAGGGTTTAGGGTTGTAGGCTGGTAGGGGGTTTGGGTTTCGGATTTACGATGCTGGTTCTCAACAAGAAATGAATGCCAGGCACCTTGTACAGTTTCTGAGAGGCTTGTAGAGGTAATTGTTGTTTGCAATGTCCTGTGGTACCCTTCTCCCTTGTTCCTAGGGTTAAGCCTCTTTAAGCAAAACTGGCTTCCTTCTTCTCCAAGGCTGCTTAGCCGAGCCAAGAATCACAGTATGTTAACTGGCACGTATACTAGTACTCTTGCCCCCCAGACAACATGACCCCCTTAAAATCTAGGTGAATGTGCATGCGCCCTTCTACTCCTTATATTTCACTACAGTTTAAAATGGTTTACTTGGGCCCATCGCTTCGTTCATGCGCTTTCTAAATGGTTGATCTGGCGCAAAAGACCCCTAGAACCTAAACTCAAGACCCCAAAATATCAGAGCGGCCAGGGTCGCAAGGTGTGACCAGGGAGAGAGAAGTGGAGGTTTAGGGTTTAGGGTTTAGGGTTTAGGGTTTAGGGTTTAGGGTTTAGGGTTTAGGGTTTAGGGTTTAGGGTTTAGGGTTTAGGGAGTTTCATGCCTTAAAAAAGGGTCTCAAGGTGCGACAGGGAGAGAGAAAGGACCCTTTCCTAGCTCTACTGCGCCATGAATCCGGTAAGGCTAGCAAAAATCAAGACAGGTTCAGGTGTGTAGCTTTATACTTTAGCTATAAACAGTAGCCACCCTGAACCCGAAGCCCTAACTTCAGCTGGGAGCGCGCCCACCTGAAACACCCTAAACCCTAAATCCTAAACCCAAAACCCAAAACCCTAAACCCTAAACCTTGAGGGTTTCGGGCTGTTGGGTGCGTCGGCTTCAGGAACTCAGCAAGCGAGTAAGTCCTGGGAGTAGGCTCCAACGCCCAACCCTGCTTCTGCCGAGTGCCGAGGTGAGCGGGAGGACTGGAAGCTGAGTTTAGGGTTTAGGGTTTAGGGTTCAGGGTTTAGGGTTCAGGGTTTAGGGTTTAGGGTTTAGGGTCTAGGGTCTAGGGTCTAGGGTCTAGGGTAGGCTTCTTTGAGCTGAGGGGGGGGAGGGGGAGGGTGTAGAGCTCAAAACTCTTGGTATTGAATATTTACAGGTATTTCTATGTTAAACTATATACAAGCACTTGTTCATATATATATATATATACACAACACATATGCAGACGAACAGTAGCTGCCCAGTTGAAACTAGGGGTTTAGGGTTTCGGGTTTTGGGTTTAGGGCTTCGGGGGAAGAGGACCTCGACAGTCCTCAGCTCTGCCGCCTGCAGCCGGAATCCCTGGTTCAGGCCGATCCTGAGGTTTAGGGTTTAGGGTTTGGTTTAGGGTTTAGGGCTTTGGGTTTAGGGTTTGCGGGTTTAGGGGTTCGGGTTTAGGGTTTAGGGTTTAGAGTTAAGGGTTTCGAGGGTTTAGGGCTTAGGGTTAGGGCTGAGGGTTTCGGGTTTAGGGCTTCGGTGTTTGGGGTTTGGGGTTTCGGGCTACTTAGGGTTCAGGATTTCGTCCTCGGGGTTTAGGATTTTTGGTCTAGGGGATACCCTTTATCACACAACTTGCGCTGCGGCTACGCAAGCCCCGGTCGAGAAACATGCTACTTCGCGCTGCGCGTATGTGGATGACGCGGGCCTGATCACATCACTATGAGCTCTTAACGAATGCAATGGAACACAACTTGTGCAAGACAACCTTTGTATGGGGAAGACACCCGCTCGGGGGTTGACCCTGAACATATCTGCGACGAGTTGCAATGATGAATCCCCCGATATTCACAGATCATCTTGCCTCTAGCTACTATAGCGGTCGGAATAAGTGCTAAGAATATTCCCTTATGGCAATTATGGTCCCTTTGTAAGAATATACTTTCATAACCCCCAAGACCGTATTCTAATTATAGGCCCCTACATTAATCCGTGCGCTTGGCCATGGCTGCGCCATATCTTCAGCAAAGAAACTTGGCTTTCTTCTGGCTGGCTCTTAGGACTTTACCCTTCTGGGCTTTGTTGAAACTGCAGAAAATTGGAGCCTACAAGTTCAGAAGCCCTAAGCCCTACACCCTGCACCCTACACCCTAAACCCTAAACCCTAAACCCTAAACCCCCTTTGGGGTTCAGAAGTCCACCAAGGAAAGGGCTCCTTCCCAGTCCTGCTGGTGGCGCCGCACGCGACCGTCGACCTGGAGCCAGTGGGGCCTTTCATCAAGGGATGGCCCCACAACAAGCTCGAGGCCAATAGAGGGGGTTTAGGGTTTAGGGTTTGGGGTTTAGGGTTTAGGGTTTAGGGTTTAGGGTTTAGGGTTTAGGGTCAGGGTCTTAGGTGGTCCATTTGTATTCAGGTTCCCTATATTACTGCTCATGGCTTAGAAATGTAATCATATTGCCTTGTGGTCCGTTTGTAGTCATACCATACCAACCCCCAACAGCCCATTCTAATGATTCAGGCACCTATTTTTGCTGTTCATGTCCTGGGTTTTTGCATGTTTAGGGTTTAGGGTTTAGGGTTTAGGGTTTCTGCTCAAGGGTCTGCGTCATTTCATGCACCACTCCGTCATGACCTGAGCGATCTCCCCTGTCACGATTCTTCCTGGCCTCAGCTCTGAACCCTAAACCCTAAACCCTAAACCCTAAACCCTAAACCCTAAACCCTAAACCCTAAACCCTAAACCCTGCCTAAACCCGAAGCCCTGAACCCCTTCAGGTGGCGGAAGAGATGAACGAATGGCACGACGAGGGCAGTGGCGAGGCCTTCGAGGCAGCGTGCCGGACGTTGGCAGCGCCAGGATATCAAGGGTTTCCCTACTACCCCCCCTAGGTTTAGGGGGTTTAGGGTTTAGGGTTTAGGGTTTAGGGTTTAGGGTTTAGGGTTTAGGGTTTAGGGCTACTACCCCCCCCCTCTTAAATGACCTTAATTAGGCTTGCTTATCCCTAAATGGCCATAATTGGAACCCATGAGGATATCGGCCGCTGCTTCCCAGGGGCCTGATGGATTTGAACCGGGGCTGGAAAGGGCGAGAGCAAGCATCCACTGAGACCTTATTCAGCAAAGGGGCCATCAGCCCCTTGGTCTATCTGTATGGGCTGATGTTCAGACTCGATCTGAATACCATGCCGTTTTCGCACTGTGTTTAAAGTTTCTGCTCTGGGCATTTCCTTTGGGATGTTCCCTCTTATGCTAACAGTCCTTAGTATGGATTTAGTACCTCCTATGATAATACCTACTAAGGACTGCTAGTATAAGGGGGAACATCCCAACCCTAAACGCTACACCCTAAACCTCTAAAAGCCCCTTTAATACCTATAAAAGGACTGTTAGTATACGAGGGAGCATCCCAATGTTCCCTCAGGCTGGATGGAGAGAGAATGGGCAGTTGAAGCCACGAAGCCATAGACTCGTAAAGATGGGAAAGCTCGCAGCCCCCCTTCGCGAAAGCGGGCAAGCCACCTTTCCCGAAAGATATCCTGAACCCTAAACCCTCAACCCTAAACCCTCAACCCTAAACCCTAAACTCAACTCCACATTACCCCACTTTCCAATCTCAGGTGCGTGGGGCCTTCAACATCTACAACAGGGTGCCTTGGAGTCCCTGGAACAACGCTACCGTGGCGCCTTGGAGGAGCTACGCCAAGCTTCCAAAGAGGTGGCCATGAAAGCAAGCCAAACCTGAAACCCTAAACCCTACGACCCGACACCCTAAACCCCAAGCACAAAAAAACGAGCTCAACCCTAAACCCTAAGCCCAAAAACCTAAACCCTAAACCCTAAACCCTAAACCCTAAACCCCAACCCTAAGCACCATAACTCCTAAGAGATCATTCCCAAGCGCCAGGTGCGCGGCTTTGTGGAGATGCACAGCTTTGGTGATTTGGGATCCACCTATGACGCTTGGGAGGGTTTAGGGCTTAGGGTTTAGGGTTTAGGGTTTCGGGATTAGGGATTAGGGTTTAGGGCGATTTGTGAACTAGCAACCAGCACGAAAAAATGGATACCCTTAGATGATACGATGGCTTATGCTGGGCCCTAAACCCTGTAAACCCTAAACACAATCATTCCTAGACCCCATCAACCCTAAACCCGATCAGCCCTAAACCCTATAAAGCCTATAAACCCTATAAACCCTGTAAACCCTATAAACCCTAAACCCGTAAGGCCTTAGACTTCAGGGTTCAGGGTTTAGGGTTTAGGCCTTACGGCCTTAATGCCTTAAGGACCGGCAAAATGGCGGCCGCCCCTTGCGCCGCTCCGAAGCAGCGGTGGTGCTGTCGACCCCTTGGGCCACGCAATTTCCCGTGGCTTAGGATTATTATGATTAGTCTTATTTTTCTTCTTCTTCTTCTTGTTATTACTGTTGTGTTTTTGTGTATTATGAATAACATTATTAATTATCATTATGAGTGTTTGTTGAATTTTTTTATTATGATTTCCCTATTCTGATTAGTATTGTTATTCTTATGGTTATTATTATTATGATTATTATTATTATCATCATTGGTATTTTATTTATTCATCATGGCTGTCTTATATATGTACTTATACTCTATTATATATGCGTATGTGTATATTTCTTTGGGTATACTTATATTTGTTACACTTAGTTCCGCCGAACTTTAGACTTTGCATTTTTTGGGCTTCCTTATGTTGTTGGAATCACAGAGCGCAACCCTAAACCCTAAACCCTAAACCCTCAACCCTCAACCCTAAACCCTAAACCCTAAACCCTAAACCCTAAACCCTAAATCTTGTTTTCTGGGCATTGAAGAAGAAGTAAGGTGGGCCTGGCCCGGCTGCTGCCGGGCGACCTGCGGGGAACGCCCAAGAAGCTCGAGAGGATGCCCGAAAACCCTTAGCCCTAAACCCTAAACCCTAAACCCTAAACCCTAAACCCCAAAACCCTCCAAAAAACTCGGGAGGATCTTGGATTTGGAGCTCGAGGAGAAGGGATTCAGACTGGGGCCAAGCCCTTACCCCATCCAGGGGCCTTGGGCCATTTCCACTCGCTTTTTGGCCGCTCGTTGGTTTCAGTGGCTGGCTCAGAAAGGCCATCTTCCGGCCGAGACGTCCGAGCACCTGTCGATGCTGGCCTGGGTCAATGAGCAGGATGCGGAGGCGGAGGCTGTAGCAACAGGGCAGGTGCCGGAACATGGCAACCAGGATGCCCTATAGTACCCTTATTCCCCTTTTTTTTTGAGGGGGTTAGGTTCCCTCATAAGCCCCTTTAAGGCCAAAAAAGGGGACCCTAAACCCTAAACCCTAAACCCTAAACCCTAAACCTTAAACCCTAAACCCTAAACCTTAAACCCTAAACCCTAAACCCTTTTAATCCTGGGTTCCTGGGTTCCTGCTAGGCAAGCTGCGCGGGGTCAGAGACCTGGCGGTGAAGATGGGAGAGTGGTCGCATTCGGCTAGCCGCTGGTCCCGCAGGGTTTAGGATTTAGGGTTTAGGGTTTAGGGTTTAGGGACATCAACTTTCTATTTCTCGCTTTATACCCTCTTACTGCCACGCTTGGCACAGCAACATGTGGAGAACACGCACCCAGGCAATTTGGGAGAGGTCTTCCAACAGGAGGCCCGCTGCTTTACATTGGTCGTCGAGATGAGACTTACTTAGCCAATAGTTGAACTTTAAACTTTTTGGGGGGTTTCTTTATTTAGTTTAGGGTTTAGGGTTTAGGGTTTAGGGTTTAGGGTTTAGGGTTTAGGGTTTAGGGTTTATAGGGTTTAGGGTTTAGGGTTTAGGGTTTAGGGTTTAGGGTTTAGGGTTTAGGGTTTAGGGTTTAGGGTTTAGGGTTTAGGGTTTAGGGTTCCCCTTTTTCGCCCTTAGCTATCGGAGAAGTAAGGAGATGTGATTTGGCGCCAAGGGCAGAGTCTTTTGGATTGGCGGTAGCCGCGGCGCTGCACAAGTACAGCGCAGAGCAGTGACCAAGCTCGTGTGGAAACAAGTGTGCCATCCACGTCATGTCAGGAGGCTGGTTTAGGGTTTAGGGTTTAGGGTTTAGGGTTTAGGGTTTATGGTTTAGGGTTTAGGGTTTAGGGTTTAGGGGTTCAGTATGATACACCTACTAAGTCCCACGAAAGTACCCGAACATACAAGGTAAGTCTTGGTGCCTGGTTAGCTGGCGTTTCCTTCCAGCATGCTCCAGTTCGGGTCAGCTTGAAATTTCCACATGCTTCTCGATGCCCAGTGGCTTTAGCACTGCGGCACATCTATCAAAAAACGACCTGCGGTTCACCCTAAAACTCTAAACCCCAAAAACCTTAAACCCTAAACCCTAAACTATCAAGAAAGGACCTGTGATTCATGCAGCCCATCATGTCCATCCTATATTGTGTTTTTCGGGCGGTTTAGGGTTTAGGGTTTAGGGTTTAGGGTTTAGGGTTTAGGGTTTAGGGTTTAGGGTTTAGGGTTTAGGGTTTAGGGTTTAGGGTTTAGGGTGTTCTGGGCTTGAGTCTTCTAGCGCACACATTAGCAGTGAGACTTGGGGGTGGTCCTTCCCAGCACTGCTCGCTTGCCAGCTGGGAGTGGTGTTTCAAAAAATCCCTGGGTTTGGAGTACTATACTTTAATACTTTTTTGGTTGTGGGTGCCTACTATTGCAGCTACTTATACCTAAGCAGTATGTACATTTTGTCCAGGGTCTGCTCCAGAGTAGGGATTATTGCCTAATATTCAAAATCCGATTCGAGTATTTTCACGTGTTATCATACATGAGGGCTATTTAATATTAGGTGGGCAGGGGGGCTTGAATGTTAGGAGAGGGATTAGAAGGGCGAGGTTGGTTGATATCACAGGGGCGGATTGGCAGGATCTGGAACCTTAACCTGTTCAGTTCTCATAGGGTTTATTGGCTCGAGTCTGCTGTGTGAAGCTCCCCGTAACACCATGCCAACCTACTACCACGTCACGACCAAGAAGGCCTGGAAGCAGATCCAGGAGGAAGGCTTGCAACCGGGACAGCAGGGTGTGGCTGGCCCTGGCTTTTACATGGCCTCTTCAAGCGAAGATGCCAAGCGTCGCTGCCGGAATGGGGGGCAAGTGGTCTTGGAGGTGGAGACGAAAGGCTATCCCTACAAGTGCCAAGGCGGCCAAGGCCGGGGGGGGTAGGCGAAACGATGCGGGAATGAGGGATTCTAAGCGTTTCATGGGTGCTTCAGCACGTTTACACAGAGGGCTGGCCCGAGCCTTAAGGCAACTACGTCGTCTATGACCCGGAGAAGATTGTGAGCGTCACACGCAAGCAGTAGCCAAGATGATGCAAAAGCCGAAGGCGGGTCAGCGCAGATACAGACTCTGCAGGTGATCTGAGCTTCGGAAATTTGATTACAGGCCCTAAGGGTCCATGATATACTTGGGCCCTAAAGCGACTACATGGGTTTAGGGTTTAGGGTTTAGGGTTATGATATACTTGGGCCCTCAAGCTACTACATGGCAACCCCTTTTAAGGGCCAAGTGTATGCTATATAGATACTTGGGCCCTTAGGGAGGAGTGGATGTGTTGCGGACATCTACGTGCGCAGAAATCGACAGGCTCCTTTGAAGCTGAGCGAAACAAAGCGCTGATGCCAATATGTTTGTGATCCTCTAATGTAATGTTGCCCATGTGCTTCTAGTCTAGTTCAACATGTCTACTTCTCACGAAACATGACAGAGACAGGCAGCTGACAAGTTAGTTGACGACTTCCTCAAGCCCGCATGGAAAAAAGCCAGGAGCATTTATGTAGGGGATAGGTATAGGTACGCCTTAGGGTCGAAGGCTGTTTTTTTATGACTCTGCTTGTGGTGGGTACCCTTACATGCACGGGGCATGCCATGCATATCCTGTCTCCTACACATCTACGACCATGTGAACCGCAAGAAGGAGGACATCTTCGACCCCTCCCTCTTAGGGCTAAACCCCAAACCCTAAATCCTAGACCTTAAGCCCTAAACCCTAAACTCTAAACCTTGAAAGCCGAAAGCCCCTAAAGCCCCTAAAGCCCCTAAAACCCCTAAAGCCCTTGAAGCCCTTGAAGCCTCAAAGCGCCCCTCTCTGGATGGCACCGGAGGTGATCGAGATAGGCACCGGGCCGACTGGCAAGCAGCTTGGCGCTCGAGTTTATGGGGTAGGGGGCTTTAGGGATAGAGGTTAGGGTTTAGGGTCTAGGGTCTAGGGTTTAGGGTTTAGGGCTCCCCTTTTTGCGAAAACTGTGCTCGAGATTTTAGGGGCTTTAGGGGCTTGGAGTTTAGGGGTTCAGGGTTTAGGGGTTTTGGGTTGAGTTACAGGGCCCCTCAACCTTATAAGCCCTGAGCCGAACCCTAAGACCCGAACCAAGAAGGAAAGCCGGGTTGAGTGTGCCCTAAAACTCCCCTTAGTTTCCTGAGGCTCTCTCTGTATCCTGAGCCCTCTTTGTCCTTCTAATTTTGGCAGCCCAGGCGCATCCGT